ATGCTGCGTGGAGGTTTCTGAAGGCAAGTTCCCAGTGTCGAAGCCTAGTTGTGAGACATTGCGCCGTGCCACTGCGTACCCGCTTTGTTCACTTTTAATGAAGGCTTTATGCCTTGATGCTCGCACAGACAGGGTGAGGTCCTCGGATTGTTCCGTTTTGCCGAGGTGTGCGTGTTGAGCTCAATGTACGTGTAGACAGGATCTTCCGTGTACTCTCCGTCTCGCTCTCTCTGTATATATATATATATATGCACGTACACACACATACACATACATATACATATAGATAATATGTGCACATGTATATGTATATATATATATGTATGTATATGTATATGTATATGTATATGTATGTGTATGTGTTTGTGTATGTGTTTGTGTATGTGTATGTGTATCTGTATCTGTATCTGTGTATATATATATATATATATATGTGCAGATGAATATATATATATATATATATATATATACACATATACATACATACTCACAGAAGTACTGTACTAGATCAATTGTCCAGGTGCCTGTATGTAAAGACTGGTTCGAGAACTTGTCTATAGCTTCTTTGTACAGACACGTGTAGACCTCCGGATACCTCTGGGTGGTCTTGTGCCATGAAAGCACGAAGGCCTTCACTGCCAGTGTGTTGGCACAAGCTGCCGCTGGCTGCGCACAGGCTGGGAGCCAATGCAATCCCAGCGGCGTGCTTCCATAAATCAGAGAACTCATGGCAGGCCAGTTGCCAAATTGGCGAAGAGGCCAGTGCTTTATCGTGCAGGTTTGCGGAGTCAAGTGCGAGCAGGGTACACGGTCTCATCAATCACTTCTGATGTTCTGTCCCAGGCAGTGCTTGCATCGCGGCGAGGTTCTTACAGTACTCATATCCCATGTTCGTTCTGCATACTTGCGCCGAGCTTCTCTGCTGATGCTGACAGGTTCCATTGCTCCAATTTCATGCGCTGCAGACTGAGAGCAGTTGGTGCTGTTTTCTGCTCATGTGGCTTTGTCGGCTGTACTGAGGTTTGGTAAAAGAGGCCTGCCTTCTGAACGGGCATTGTCCGAACGTAGCGGGTCAGCTCCGGACATTTTTTGTCACCGTCCACCCTACCAATACGGTTCGCAGGACCGGTAGGCAGAGTGCCCAAAGGCTGACCACTGGGTGCCTGTCTGTTGCTAAGTGTGCGGCCTCAAATCCCAAGTCATGGAAGGCATTAGCGCGGCAAGCCAAAACCCAAAGGAAGCGTGGGTGGGCACAGGATGCCATGCTTCAGGCGCCTTCCCTACTAGCACCTGGAGATGATTCAGAAAGCATAGAGGCCCGGATAGGTTAATCCTTTCTGTGGGCAGTTTGCAGAGGAGATGCTGTGCAATGCTGGGTGCTACGCTACTGAGTCGCAACTTGACAATTCTCGGCTACTGGTAGGAATCCATTTCGTGATTTAGAAAATCTAGACCCATGAAAATGCATGCAGCAATCATCTCCAAACTCTCAACAATTATCCGAGTGATTCGGTCTTGAACTCCTTGAACTTGAAGGGCAAGTCAGTGTTGTAGCGGCTGGAAGTTCTTTTGTGAGCTTCTTGCAGCGCTCGGAGACCGGAGGCCTTCCCACTCAACGTGATCCTCCGTGCCCTCCGCCTGAGCCTTCGTTTCCAAGGTCAGCTTCAAAATGCCCACAGTTTCATGCAGAAGTCTTTCCGTAGGACTTCAAGTGAGATTGTGAGGTTCCCAGCTGGTGGCTGCTGGTTCGGTGAGTATGGCATTTCCTCTCCTGGAGAAGGCAGCCTTGGTATGTCGCAGCTGTTATGGGTGGACATAGGAGAGAGGACTTCTTGCAGAAGTCTCAACCTCCAAATGGTTCGTCCATTTACAATGAGGGAAGCATCTTGCATGCATCATCCAAGATCTTTTGCGCCGATAGACTGACAACTGACATTCCAGGTTCTCATTCCCGACAGGCGTTCGTCGAAGGGGAAAGGGCACCAACAGGGAGAGAGCCCCGGCGACAAGCAGACCAAGCACCCATGTTAAAAGGCCACAGAAGCCGCTCTGCACGAGTTGCGGAGAAGATATGGTGAGACATGCAAGGGACCCTTTGACTTCTGGAGCTCGACAAGAGCATGCCATTTGTGTATGGTGTTGCAGGTGGTACTTTATCCATGAAATAGGGCACAGTCGATCCGTCATCCCGGTTTGTTGTCGTGGCTCGCAGCTACAGCTAGTGCGAAGTACAGTCAGAGCAGGATGGAATCACAGTTTTCAAACGCGGCCTCCACATCAATCCTGTGCACTCGACTCGTGTGCAAAGATGGAAATAAGTGGCAACATTTTCCCGGTCGGTGTGCTCTTGGTTCATATCACAGAGCAGAAATTGCTGCAGGATTCGTGGATACTGTTGTAACGCAGCATTGAACATGTTTCTGTCGAACGCATCTGCGGCATCATTGGAGGCTGTCATTCGTCTGTCGATATTCGGCACCCTGAGCTCGTGTACTGCAGGGGTTGCTTAAATGCATTTAAATACGACCAAGGAATCCTGGAAGGGTTGCATATGGCTTTCAGAGGTTCAGGTGGCAGCGCAACACCTTCATGAAAATGGGTCTTGGTTGTAAGACTAGGGCTGACGTCTTCGCAGCAAAGCCAGGTCATGGTGACCAGCTTGGAGAAGTGGATGTCTGGATTTTCCGGCATGTTACTTTCCTTCCAACATAACACATAAGAGAATTCAAGCAGTCGATGCTAAGGTGCTGGCCAGCAGGAGGAGTGCTGTGGGTCTAGGTCTTGGTGGGCCCGGCATGCTGCAGACAACTGGCCTTATCTGCCCTTTGCAGGACCTCGAGGAGTTGTGCGCGGCCGCTGGGCCCGGATCCCCAAAATACATCCTCCGAAGCAGCAATGTTCATGTTTGATTTTTTGAGCAGCACTGTTCACAGCCGCCTTCTCGCATACGTAGAGATTCACGAAAGGTCTTGGAGGAATATGGCGAAATCATGAAACTTTGTCACTAGAAACTGCCGAGTCACCATTGACCTCAGACTTGTGTTTAGCTTTCACCTTCTACTCCCCCGGCTGGCAAGAGGTCCTCGGTCCCGATGTCTGATTTAGATTACAAAGCTTTTTTTGATTATGGTAGCATATCTGTTAAGTTGTGATCCTTGTGGGTGAGCTCCGACATTCAGTATTTCATGTGCGGCCATCTCTGACCGTGATTTTAGTCTGGTTGAGATAAGGCAATGCCACGCTTTCGACCGGCTCGGCACTCAAGGCATTAGATGGTGGCGCGTCACCATGGCGCTGCAGTGCAGGGAACTTGTTTTTCTTATGCGCTGATCCGGCCGAGGCTGTTTTCCAAGGTTCGAAGCCTGAGACTTCCTTTCAGTGTGGCGTGAAGCTGTCGCAGCTCGTCGTGTGGTCGCATGCTTTCCTTGAGGTTGCGCTGCAGGGGCTGGCCAGTGGAAGACTCCCATGGGAATCCAAGTTGCAAACAAGTTTGTCTGAGTCCCTACCAAAGGGCATGCAGGATGCAATGCCAGTTGCGCTATATCCTCCATGCTGTGGCTAAGGTACATGGACAAGGTGCGTGCCGCGTGCCCTTTAAGCTCACAGTCTAATCACTGCAAGGATGTGTTGCTCCAAGGTCAGCTGCTTTTGCCGGCAGTATTGGATGTGGCTGAAGCTGCCGCTCCTGGGGATGCAGGAAGATACATTCAGATCAAGACGCAATGGGTACGAATGGTTATGAATTGCACAAATCGTTTTGTTGAACCTTAGCTGAAAGGCTCCAATGGAACCGTTTCTTGCCCGGTGTTCGGTTTTGTTCTCAAAGGCGCTGAAACCACCGAAGAAATGTTGCACGGCAGCAACGCTTAGAAGAAACATCCCGGAGGGGTCAGCGGAGCAAGGTGCTTCCCGAGTCTTTCCGAGATCCCGACTGTGTACTGACATGTACTTACAGATGCTGACCCGCATGTTTGCAGGGGAACCTCGGCCGGTTGAACGCCTGGACGCGAAGAAGTACGATCTGGAAGTTGCCATCGAAGTTGCTTTCGCGAGAAACAAAATGGGAATGATAGTAGGTGAGTTTGCATTTTACTGGAAAAGGGCTCCTTTTGTGGAGGCCAGGTCGTGCCGACTAGCGAGCAATCAGAGTCGACTGGCGAGCAATCAGAGTTGCCTAGCAGGCCGTGTTACCATGCCTTGCCTTATCTTGCCCTCATCCGATTGAGGGACGCATGCGGACCCCGACCCGGCGCTGGTGCCAGAGCTGCGCTGCTGTCACCCCCCCATCACCACGATGCGCCACCACGTCCCCAATCACTTTGGAATCTCATGGAAGCTACATAACATGGTCAAGAAATGTCAAGAATGGTCAAGAATGGTTTGCTTTCCAGTCTTATGTTTCGACAGGCGTTATCAGTAATTAAGTACCTCCGGGCTCGTTCCGCCATCGTTCTCCTAGTGCTCGTCTCCAATTGCTTCGAGCCAGAGTGGTCATAGACTAAGGAAGCCAAGGACCCAACTGGTGCAGGCTGGAACTCGTCAGTGTGTTAGATGAGTCTTCGACGAAAAGTGCGGAGCGTCAACCCATGTCAGCGTCAACCCATGTCAGCCCCGCGAGATGGCAGGTGCCGATGCGCTCGCGGTGCTCTGTGCGGCAGGGGCCCCCGGGGCAAGGAGGCGACTCCTGTCCTGGACACTTGCGGCCTGGTGCCGAGATGTGAGCCACGATGCTGAGAGTGCTGAGAGGTCAAGGATCCACGAGGGATCCGCGAGGGGTCCACGAGGGGTCCACGAAAGATCCATCTGTGTTGCAAAGTGAAGCCAAGGAGTCTGCCAGCCTCTATTGCGTGGCGTCGGGTTCCGAGCTTCCAAATCACCCCGAAAAATTGTAGCATTGTAGCACATACAAGCACGGATCACCGAGCAAGAGAGGAAGCAACCTTGGGTGCATGCCAGTGGCCGCAGCCGACTAGTTCAAATCCAACTGAGTCAAGGCTAGTATGCCACCTGAGCAAGATGAGGAAGGGTTGTTGCCTAAGGGCAACCCGGAGAGCCGTTCCATCACTCACAAGTGGTTTCCTTGCAGCGTTCTGGTCATCTCCCTAGCGGCCGTCGCCCTGCTGGCGTTTTTGAACTCGCCAAGCAGAGCAAGCACTGCAAATGCAGATCTTTCAGAGGTGCTCCAGGCATGGTTACCTAGCACGGAGGACGAAGTTCTCCCCAAGAAGAAGTGGGCCAAGGTTTTCCACGTGCAGCATCCAAACTCAACACTCGGATCCAGACGCTACTACGAGTACTCCCACCACCCGGCGTTTATCGTGGAAAGTGCTCGTTTGCAGGAGATCGTGCAATGGCAAATTGCGCACGACTGTCCGAAGCTGTCTGTGGGTATGGATATGGTCACAAGCCGTGACTTGCCAGTTATCGAGAACATTACATCCGCTAGCATTTGTCAGAAAATCTGCACAGAGACCATTGAATGCCAAGCATTTGTGTGGGGCTATCAGCGGAACCGACCCGGCTTGACTGACCGATGTTTCAGGAGGGCGTTTAGCCAACTCTTCGAAGATGTGCAGCCATCCAGGAACACTGACGTAGTCGGAGGATTGCCTTGTTTTCGACAACCGGTGAGTGATAGGATGTGGTGGCCAAGGGAAGAGATGGAGTTTTTCGATCTGCCCCAGGCCCGACCACAATCAGTTGCCCTGCACACGTCTGCGTCATCGACAAGAATGTTGTGTCTGGCAGTCTTCTTGCCCTTCACATATGAGCAAGACCTGCTTCTCATGCAGTACAGGTTTGGCACCAACATTTTTGCATGTGATCAGCATGCCATCTACAGCTCTACTCGCCTTGAGCTGGCTCCTGGCCTCATTTCCCGACGGGTACCAACCACCTTGTTGTCAGAGTTGGGGGGGCCCTACATCACCGTGCTGAACCTGGCTGCATTCATGGCAGTCTGGCGGCAAGTCTTGCTGGACGGTGACTATTTGCAGTGCGACTGGACCATCAAAGCGGATCCCGACACAGTCTTCATCCCCCAGCGCTTGGTGCCGATCTTGTCCGTGCAAAGCCTATCAATGGGTGCAAACGGAAAGTACCTGAACAACTGCCAGGATGGGCTTCACGGCCCCCTGGAAATCTTCTCTCAAGGGGCCCTGACAAGCCTCGGACGACACGCGCTTCGCTGCGCCAAACACTTGGACGGCGGCGATGAGTGCAAAGAGCATTGTGAGAAGTTCTGGGACTTCAATTACAAGGAGAAGTGCAATGGACATTGCACAAAGTGGTGGGGTGAAGATATTTGGCTGGATCAATGTCTCTCACGGTTTGCCGCCGTGACTAGAGTCTTTGTGCCAGAGCTTTTGCAAGAGGACCACTGTCATCCCAAGCCGGGTTGGAGAAATTGCCTTGACCCGCACACAGTGGCTTTTCATCCCTTCAAGAGCCCGGACGATTATCAAACCTGTCACTGGACCCTACTTGGCAAAGATTTTCTCGTTTCTAAATGTCAGCTGTGGTTCGCTAGTTTGTTAAAGGACCGCTCAACAACAAACGAGGGGCCTTTTTCACAGAGTTCCACGCGCTAAGGCCTCGGAGCTGCTCTCAACAGACAGATTCTGCTCTAGAGCTCTAGAGGAGCAAAGCGGTGCAAACAACAATGCGCTGCAGAGTAGAAATCTCAAGCAGCTTTGCGAAGCAACTGCTTGAGAAGACTTGAGGCTAGTTACCGGCACTGCTAGCTTGGAGATGAAAAATAGGAGCCAGCGCCACCTGGACTGACGGATCTCAGAAGGTCAGGAAGTTTGAAGTAGGTGTTGCCGGGATTTTTCTCAGCCGACGGACTCCCAGGTTGCGTATCCATCTCTGCTTGACGTCGCGGCTGGGAACGGTGTCTCGGAGGCATGGACCGGAGGGAAGTGGGTAAGTCTTCTGTCTGCAAGGAGCGTGCGCTGGCCTGGGCAGAGTCCGAAGCTCATCAGATCTACAAGACTTAAGTAAATGTTGTAGATTTGGATTGACACTGCTAGTTTTTCGGCATGGAGATGCCTGGTGCGGCAGTTTCAATGTTGAGGCTGCTGATGAAGGGCTGTGATCTTCTTGATGGACCGCGGATGGATGCTACATTCTTCCAATGCGAGAGCAATGCGACAGCAGTGGAAGGATCTCGAAAGCGCGTGGTTCGTGCCCAAAGCCGGCCCCTCGCAGCCACCGTCGTGAGTGTGTGAGTGTTCCCACGATTCACACAGTGTTAGAGGGCCCGAAGCACTTGAAGTCAATTGGCCCTAAAGATCTCCAACAGGCATTTGCGGCATGACGAGATGTGTCCTAAGTAGACTTGGCAGAGCACCTGCAGACTGGTGCTTCTGCAATGCAGAAGCAATGCGAGCAATGTGAGGTCAGGCATGTTCCTGCATTGCAGCCTGCACCTCAATTTGCCCTTCAGGTCTTTGTGTATACTTGATAGTTTCGGTTCTTCAAAACGTGCAGTGCTGCGTACGGAGTACAACCGTTGTAGCCTGTCCCTGGCCCACAAAAAAAGGCGTCAAACTAAAACGCTGTTGAATGGAAACCTTTTTTGAGAAGAATCTTGACGTCTCAGAGTTCGGAGTGGGTCTCGAGAGGGGGAACGGCTTTGGGGTTAGGAAAAACAGGCTTGTACGGCTTGTATGACTATCGTCAGCTAAAGTTTGCAATTGTTTCCAAAACAGCTGCCCTGCTCAAGCGAACAGAGCTGTTGAGTCTGCTAATGGCCATCTGAGGTGATGCTGTCATCTTGTAACTCCAGTGCACTGAATCTTTGGGTGGCAATCTCAGTTGACTTGTCTGGCTTCCACGCGACTCAGTGCTGCTCGTGCCAAGGTGCAAAAGCTGATCTCTCTAGCCTCATGTCGAGCGGCGGAGCATGATGTGCTGCTGCTGCTGATAAGAAGGCTACGCCCTCGTTGACCACCTGCCTTTCGCGGCTGAAAAAATCCAGTCACACATTGACGATGAGGATCTGGATACATGTCACTAAGGATTCTTGCCGCCCATCCAAGAATCGCAGACAACCTCATTGTCAGCCTCTTAATGCCGTTTAGCTTGGAACAGCTATGTTCCGTCTATGCCTTGAGAATTTGAATTTGAGCACGCAGGACAAGCTGACAGCTGATGTGCAGGCCACGCACGGACCTGAGATGTAGCGAGAGCTTACAGTTGAGCACAGTGGGCAACATTGGCACTCAATGGCACTCAAAATCCAAGGCCAACCCCAGCGAAACTCCGTTGCCGATGACCCAGCCCTGACTTCCATCTTCTTGTCTGATTTTCCCTTGGCTTGCGAGGTTTGTGTCGCGTTGCCCGGTAAGGGACTCATAGCCAGATGGTGACGTGCCATGCGTGTTTCAGCATTGTCCTGTTTTTTTGCCCCGGCTTCTCGTCAGTCATCCGTATCAGGCTGGCATCTTCGAGGGAGAAGCTTCAGGTGCGCAACCTGTTCCGTGCCAATTGTGATTCCTGCTTGGAGCATAAGGTCATGTGCGAGATGCTCCGCTCCATCCTGCGATCGGTGAGCTGGGCCAGTAGCCAACGCAAAAGCTGCCGATGCGCTCGTCTCCATGGCTGGAATGGAAGAAGCACGCCAGGACAGCAACGACGCGGCAACGCGGGCAGAGGTCTGGGACCACACATAGGCAAGCTTTCACAGAGCTGCTGACTGCATGTTCTTGCAGGCTTGGGCCGCGCACGCCTGGTGCTGCGAGCGGTTAGGTGACCTGACAAACTGTCGATCGGTTTCTATTGCTTTCACCGAACGTTGGGGAGCCTGTTCAGGCGATGTCTCCAACTTCCGCATCGGCATACGTTATGCCATCAAATACTTTGCACCTTGCTCGGATGCGAGTTCATTACGTACTATTTTTGAACCTCATTTCTGCTGGCTCTGAGGATAAGTCGGAAGCCATGGGCACTCGAGTCGCCCTAGCGCCGAGCATAGCTTGCACGTGCTCATGCAGTGAGGGCCATGCTGCCAAGGAGTTCAAAAAAGCAGATAGCGTTTTATGTAAGCAAACATCAAGAAGCTGGCCTGCGAATCAGAAACTAGGAGTCAGAAACCAGCCGCAATCATAAGCCACCAAGCAGGACCAGCGCGAATCAGAAAATGCATGTCAGAAACTGGCCGCATTTGCAATTGCACATCAGGAACCCGGGCGATGCAGCAACTGCGAATCAGAAGGCGCATCAGAACTGGGGTTGGGTGGGGCGCAGAGGGGTGGCGGGGGCAGGTTGTAATCGAGCCCAGAAAGCTCTGGAAATACCCGCCGCCTACGTGTGGGGATGTGGGTTGACGCAAACATCGGAAACCATAACGGCCGCATCGCAAAACACGACGGCTGAATCGGAAACCGGGAAACGGCTGGTTCGGAAACCGGGAAACGGCTGATTGGAAACCGGGAAACGGATGATTCGGAATTTCATCCACCAGAGGCTTGCATTCAAAGGCTTCCCTGAGCATCCGGAGACTTGGAGACTTTCACCTAGCAAAAATCGGCTCGTTCCGAGAACAGCAGCGAAAGCGTAAGGGAAGGGAACAAGCTTGAAACAAGTACTACATGTAGTTAATGTATGTTAATGTATAGTCAATGTAGTCGCTGTGTGTTTTTTCCGTGCGCCCTCGGTAACCTGTCGGCCACAAGAGCAAGCGCACAGCGACGCTGCACCAAGTCAATCCTGAGGTGCTCTCCAGAGTTGGAGGCTTGTTGATTCCTTCTTCAGCATCCTTCTTTTGCATCCTTCTTGCATCCTGTCTGTATCTGATTTCAACTTTAAACTTGGCCCATCACTGGCACTAGCACATGCAGAGCGGCAGGCGCGCTGCTTGCGGGGAGTGCTGCAGCAATCGAGGCCCACTGCGAGCGCCCGTAGTTGCTGTAGTTACTTACAGTAGTTTCCTCTCCGCAAGATTCGAATTCGAACGTGTCAGGGTCTTTGCTGTGCAGTGTGGCCATTGAGAGCCTCCTCCTCGGAAGTCCATCACAATTGCCTGCTGGTGGCAAAGTGTTTCACGTTGCTGCCAGCTGCTGATTTTGTTGAGAGGTAGCCGGGCTTGCTGCCGCAGCTGGTGCAACGTCAGAGGATGCACCGGTGAGCATCTAAGACTCAGCATCAGCATGCTTCAAAGAAATGCCAGGAGAACCTGGTCTAGGGACTGGTGTGACTTTGCCTTGCTTCGCTTGTGGCAATCGTTTAGAATGGGGTTGTGTCTTCAATAACCGGGCGCCCAGCAGGATGAGGTTTTTACTTGGAAAAAGCGATAAAAAGAAAAGATGATAATGTTGTTGAGCCGGCTCATGGGAACGACGATTCCAGCACGAGACTTGTACTACAAATCAAGAAAAATGCAGCCGGCTCACCGGATCCTCGAGTACAAAGCATTACAATCAAATCAATGAGAGTCCAACCAGAGCACGGAACGTCGATTCCAGTACTGAGCTTGTACTAGGAAACAATGAACATCCAGCAGGCTCACCGAACGTGGATTCCAGTGCTGAGTTCGTACTAGCGGGAATGTGGATTCCAGTACTAAACTTGTTCTACAAATCATGAATTTTAAAATCCAGCTGGCTGACGGGAACGTCAATTCCAGTGCTAAACTTGTACTACAAGTCAAAGAAAATTCAGCCGGCTCACGGGAACGTCGATTCCAGTACTGAGCTTTCGCTACAAATCAATGAGATGCAGCCGGCTCAAGCTTGTTCTACAAATCAAAGAGAACGCAGCCGGCTCACGGGATCGTCGATTCCAGTACTGATCAGTACTGAGCTTGTAATACAAATCAATGAGAATCCAGTCAGCGCACGGGAGTTCCAGCTCAGCACCCAGTACTAAGCTCGTACCAGTACAGTGGAGTAGTTTTTTTTTTCTGTGGGAAAGCGAGAAGGAGAAGAAAAGGATAATGTTATTTGGCGCATAGGAATCTTAAACGGGGTTTTCACGAGACCCCAAAGTGCTCAGCTTTTCAGTGATGATGCCATGACTGCTGTTTGCAACAAACTACGCAATGGGGGCCAGCACTCCGCTAAGAATTAGCACTGACATGAAAATGTCAAACAGATGGATCAGCAACATATGCGAGCATGCCTTCCCAGCTGTTAATTGTCCGCCAAGTATTCGGCAGAAGACAGGTCAGTTCCCATATGTCTCCCATCAAGCTGACATGTTGGTCGTGGGTGTTCCGTTTTGTTGTAAAGCACAAGTACCATGCAGTAGCGTTGTCGAATGAAGCGGCATACAATACTTTTGCAGTAGTGGTGTTCCAGGCAGCTGTTCGCGAAGTATCGTTGACAGCGGTTGCTGCTTTCGAGGAGGATCGCACGGATGCTGCAGCTTGCATAGCTGGACAACAGATCGCGAACCCGTTTTGTGAAGGACTTCAGAATCCAGCCATTTGCTAGCAAGCCTGCGCTGATCTTATTCGCCTGAACCTGTTCATTTCGACATGATCGCATGCACCCCGTGTTTGCAGTTCTTTCCCAAGGACGGACTTGACATGCAGCCAGCAAAGAGACGGAGGCTAGCATGTTCTTGCAGTGTGCAGGATGCGTTCCGTTGCGACTCCTCTTCACCTGGCTGCATGTACAGGCTTTTGCAGCAGCTGGTTAATTTGCCTGACAAGTTCACCAAGGCCATCGAAATATGTGCTCGTGCGCTACTTGTTGTGAGTTAGTGAGTCAGTGAGTGAGTGAGTGAGTGAGTGTGTGAGTGTGTGTGTGTGTGTGTGTGTCTGTGTGTGTCTCTGTGTGTGTGTGTGTGTGTGTGTGTTTTTTCTGTGCGGTTGCACTTGTCCAATCAGCCGACATGGCTCGTCAAGTTTACAAAGATACACCTGACAAGTCACTGTAAGATGCTTCGTACTTTGCCGATTCGATGCATTCCGAGATGAGAGAGGCAGCTGGGGATGAAGACAATGAAGACATCTCAGATCTCTGTCGCGCGCTTATACGCTGAGCACAGGCGGCCGTGTACTGTATGCACGCAGAGCTTCAATGCACGTGAGACGTCATCATGGAACACAGTTGTGATCAGGTGCTTTGTCTCTGTCAAAGATCAAGACATGGCTTGAGACATGCTCGCCAGCAGGCTCTTGAGATGTCGTGGTCTCTTTGGAGCACGCATTTGTTTCTGATGAGTTGTGAGCATTGCAAGCATATGTGAGGGATACAGTATACAGCATACATGATCAGGGTGCGTCCAGACCCCCACCCTGTATTCTCGCGACCTGATGTGGGATAACCCTGCCACTTGTAGAGGTGTCGGGGGTGCTGGGAGGGATTGGCGATCCCAGTAGGGGTCACAAACTGAATGAGGGCATGGTTCGTTATTGCGTATGGCGCTGTGCTCCAAGTGCATGAATCCGCATGTGCTGGGGGAAGCCCGTGTAGTCTTTTGAATTTAAAATTTACCGGAGCCGGCTCGGGAGAAGACGTTCCAGCGACTGGCAATGTTGCAGTTGCCTGAGTCCGACTGTTTCGTCTTTGAGAAAAAGCAGGATGCGCTGCATTATTGCTATGTTCAGGACTTGCAAGGGCGGGTGCAGCATGCAGTGCAGAGCAATGCATCAACAGTAAAGAATGTTCGGATTGAAATCTCATACCGCGTTGCGCCTTTCGTGCGATAAAACTGGTGCGAGATAGCTTTTTTAGCAAGCTGTTTGGCATCCACTTTGGCAGCGGGCTGCTGCAGTCATTGTTGCTTTTGGTATTGCCAACGCTGCCATTCTCGAATCCGACTTCGCGGTGCGCATTTGAGGACGTGGGTGCGGAAATTGGTTTCCCTGAGTAGACCTCTACCAAGCTTACGTATGGCGTCGGACAGTGGGTCCTGGCTGGAAATGTGGCTTCGTCGTAGCCATAGGAGAAATTAGTGGGGTTGGCTTGTAGGCATCTGTCGTCCAAATTGGAGCACCACATTTACATGTGAGGCTTCTGTGGAAGCTGGAAACAATGAAAGCTTCAGCTTTTTCGAAAGCCAAGGGCTCTAGGATCGGAGTTGATGTTTTTGGGCCCAGAGCTGTGAGATGAGACAGTTTGACAGTTTGACAGCCGTCAATCGGAGTTGCAGCGCAGGTTTGATCTGAAACCATGTTTTTCCAGTGGCTTAGCAACTCCGCATGGGTGGAGAGCAACGGATGAGCTGATAGAGTAGTCTTGTCGGCGTTGTGGATTGCTGCGATCATGGTGCGCCTGCCCCCATTCTACGCCCCAGTTACCAAATAGTGCACTCAGAGATGCCCCTAAAAGCTTCAAACCTTCCAGATGCAATCGCTCTGCGCTTTGCAGTTGGATAATCAGTGCATGACATGTAGCCAATCAAACCCATCCAGTCCACTTGTTGCGCCGTCCGTGAACTTGGCTCAGCCGTGACATTGGAAGGATTGAAGTGATAGTCCAGCTGAATGGTCACCGTACCTTTGGGCGGGACTTGCGCTGCTCGATCGGGTGTCAAAGCTGCCAAACGTCATGACAAGGCCGGACAGGAGTTCGTGTTGTTGCTAGCAAGTTCGTTCCTTGATTCACAAACCACCTAGCATTATCCAGTAATTATTGCTTTTCTGGGAGAGTTCTCCACCTTGTGTTTGATGATTTTGCTCAAAGATTGCAAGTTTGTTGATGTGCGCATCTTGCCTACTACCTTCATGACTTCATGTTGCTTGCAGCCGCTGTCTTCGAGCCGCTAGAATGTTTCCCAGACTGCCAGACTTTCAGCAGCTGTTTGATCCCCAGCGGGCCGGACGCTTGCTGCTGAAAGAGCTTGCCATACCAACCTCGGCGCACTGGCGCCCCAAACATAAGCCGCTGGTCCATGAGCGCGCGGAAGATTTCGTCGTTGCTGAGATCGATTCAGAAGGGATGGTGTGTGAAGCCATGCGACAGAAGGCTCAACCGAGCCGAACTCACAACCGGATGTCGTCCTTTGTCTTGACCAAATTCCGGTGCTCGACTGAGGCTGCACTGCGCCTGCTCAGTAAATCGTCTGGCCTTAAAGAGGACAAGTTTTCCATATCGGGGCGCAAGGACACGTTCGCTTTAACTTCACAGCGCGTCCAGGTACCATCACCAGCCTTCTCGCATCTGAAAGACATGTGCGGTAAATGGCCGGAGTTATGGATTTCCGGATGGAAGGAGGAGGCAGGCGAGTTGTGGCATCAGGGCAACTACTTCAAACTGAATTTGCGATGGAGGGCAGGTTGTGGGATACAGCTTCATGAAAGGTTGCAGCTGCAGGAAGCCATTTCGCAACTCACAGAAGCTGGCTTTCCCAATTACTACGGTCCACAGCGCTTTGGTTTGATGGCACATGTGTCAGGTCGACACATTCTGCGACAGGAATATGGACAGGCCATGAGGGCCTCCTTCAGCAGTTTGGCTGCTTTGAGTGGCATGCGTGGCTTCCATGCTCATAGTCGTGCCCTTGAAGAATTTCTTGAAGGCAAGGCCGCCTCTGACACGCAAAAATCCGTTTGGAAGCTGAGTCGTGGACGCTGTTTGGCCAGCAAGCTACTCAATGTCGCCTCTCGAACTTCAGATCCTGAAGCCTTTTGGGTCTCAATGCCTCAAGAGGGAGACTTTGCCGTCGACGCTCTCTCCGCTTTGTTGTGGAATTACATGGCTGCCTTTCGACTGGAGCACTACGGCTGGAGCGCCGTGCAGGGTGATCTGGTACGGCAGACGACTGCTTCCGGCACTCATCTACGGGTCATTGGACCAGGGGAAGCACATGCCTTTCGTCTTGCTGATGTGTACTTGCCGCGTCTGTTTTGCAAGAACAATGGAAACACCACGGGGCCTGCTGAAAGAGAGCCCGAGCTTATTCTTGGGCAGCCGATGTGCAGCTCGAGGCCACTTTTCCCGGCCTTACCAGCTCTAGAGCAGTATGTGCAGTCTCTCCTTGCAAGCTGGGGCTTAGGTGGGCTGCCTGAAGCGACAGAATGTGCAAGCCGTGCAAGCAAAGCAACAGCATGGTGTGATTTCTACCGCCCGCGAGTGGGGTTCCCGTTCCGCTCCGTGATTTGCCTCCCGACAAAACTTGGGGTCACTTTCTGTCCTGAAGACTTTCCATCGAACTTCGAACGTCTGAATCTCTTCATTCCCTCCAAGCATAGAAACTGCCCTCATGCGATAGCGGGGCTTCCATCAGCTGCCCGATCGGTGAAGCAACTCGAGTGCTCCAGGGTTGATTTCTGCGCTGAGAATGAGGCTGCAGCCAAAGTTCAGCTCAACTTCGTCCTCCCAGTCGGAGCTTTTGCCACCTGCCTGACCCAGACACTTGCCGGCTGGGACACCGGCCGAAAAACCACTGCAAAAACGATCGTCGGGAATGTGTGTTTTTGCAGAGAATGCGACTTGGTGGCTCATTTCAGAGAGAAGTGTGCAGGGCGTGACATCACGCACTTGGTTTGCACCGCCTAGCAGGAGCACCGGTGCTGTGTAGATTTTTGAAGCATGCTCGGTTCCGCAATGCATATAATTGTTTTGTCAAGGACACTTCCCGGGAAGGCCAACACTTCTTGATCGGTGCTTTTCAGTCTGTACTTTGTCAAACTGGTCCATCAGACAAGTGTTCAGAGTTGGACAGGCTGATGCTGCACTTTCAAACTTCTGGCCACCGACACGGTCAGCTGACAAGCTGTGTGACAATGCCGCGAAAAGCACGATTTCTATGTAGAGCGTTGACCAACAGGACAGCTGCAAATGCAGGGAGTGAAGATGGCAAGGCGGGGGTTTTATTCAATGTTTTTTCATGTTGGCGGCTGGAATCCGAGACCAAGATTGCACGAGCGTCGGGTCCTAAGGTAGACCCGGCCGGCGAGGCACACTGTTTGCCATATGCCATCTTGTTGAACCAGAGCCAGTATGTTCGGTCAGGCCTTGTGCGAGAATATGCGGGAGCTGACAGTGCTTGCCCTAGTCCATCCCAGTCCGTTTTCTGCAGCTATTTTTTCACTGCGTTGCTCCTTCGTTTCACGACATGATCTGCCTGGGCATATGACTGCTGTTGCAGCTCCTGGTGTTGCTGATGCTGCTGCTGCTGCCAATGAGGATGATGACGTGGGATCCTCGACAACGAAACGCTGCCACTGCCGCTGCCTCCCCTGCCGCTGCCTCCCCTGCCGCTGCCCCTGCCGCTGCCGCCGCCCGCTGCTGTCGTTGCTGCTGCCGCGCTGCTGCTTCTGCCGCTGCCGCTGCCGCTTTCGCTGCCGCCGCCGCCGCCGCTGCTGCTGCTGCTGCTGATGCTGCTGCAGTTGCTTCTTTTGCTGCTGCTGCTGCTGCTGCTGCTGCTGCTGCTGCTGCTGCTGCTGCTGGTGCGGCTTACTTCTGCTGTTGCGTATGCTGATGCTGGCGATGCTGATGATGATGATGCTGATGATGATGATGATGGTGATGATGATAATGCTGACACTCTGGTACTTACTGATGCCGTCGGGAGCGCGCGCGAGGGTGTGTGTGTGTGTGTGTGTGTGTGTGTGTGTGTCTGTGTACCCGATGAGCGTAAATCCATATAAATCCTGAGGGACCGGCGCATGGTGCTCATGATTTGCTGGCCAAGTGTATGCGCATGTCGGACATGCAGCCGCGAAAATGGGGGCACATGGACATACGTGGACAGCTTGCTGCAAGGTAGCACTATAGAAGTATCCCATTTATGCAGTGATCAGACGATGCGAGGGGAAACACTTTCGACTTTGTTTTACCCCGGTTGACTTCAAGGCTCAACTGCGTGGGATCTTCCATGCCATGAACAGCGAGGCAGGCGTTGCTTATGGGTATCCTCATCACACGATGCCGAACCGCCAGGAGCAGATGCAGATGGAGAAAGAGAATCTAAACCAGCAATGTCATCCTCTAGTTGTCCCTGCCTTGGTGCATCTTGTTGCCAAGGAGTCATGGAGAGTAATAAGTTTGCAGGCTCACACGTCAAAAGTTCTGACACACATCGAGTTTCAGGCGCTGTGCGACAGCATGCGCGAACTCACTGTCGGGATCCAAGCAGTGCGACGTCCAAAAGAATGCTGTCTTTGGATGAACATTTTGATTACGGCAAACCTTTCAGCTGTATCTATGCGCCATGAAAGTTTTGCAAGTGGTGCGACAAGTCGCCTCCTGTAGGCCCAGCTCAAGGGTATTTTTCACACGCTGAGCCATGAGGCCTCCTACCGCTTTAGAGAGTCAGCGAAGACATGATCGACAAAGTGTTCCAAAGACGTAAGGAGTGCAGCTGCCTTGCAGGAACAGGAAGCGCAGCAGGCAGCACTGAATGAAAGCTGCCATCCGTTAGTTGCAGCTGCCTCGGAGAGGATTTTGCCTTTCCACCCATGTCACCCTGCGAGTTTCCGAGGCATCCCTTGCACAATACATGCATCAAGAGGCAGAGCGCCTCGCGCCAGGAACCTAACGTAGCAGAATGCAGCCACGCAGATTCAAGACCATCATAGACCGGTGATTCTGTGGCAAGAGCCAAACAAGAGCTCCCAGGTTGGATGGTTCCTTTGCCAAGCCTATGGCAAAGGCGAAGCTCGCAGAGGTACCAGCCACATGTCACAGTGTACACATTCGATGGACAGCATGCTGGAAATCCAGTACATCCCCAAGCGTCCCAAAGTCTTTTAAGTTCTGGAGTCCCAAACCCTGTTTGCCTTGATTCGCAAACCTTATACACTTCGACAACCGAGTGGGGCCACTCGGGCTTTCCATGGCTCCTTTCCTCCTGCTGGGCTGTAGCAGCTCAGGGTGTTAAGCTGAACCCGTTCAAGATCGTGAGGAGCGGCGAAGGGACGCGGTGGCCTGCAGTCAGCGCTTTCTATAGACGCCACACCACACACATCAGCACCTGCAAAGGCGGTAAGTTGCTGGTTGGGCACCGTGAAGGATGTGGAATTTAAGCTGTTTTTGCCTGCGAGCATTGTGCTTGGAGTTCACGCGGCCCTCAGAGGTCTTTCTCTGCTTGACCCGTGTCAAGGTGATTTCAGGAGCTGGGCCTTCTCTGCTTACCTTCTTTTGCTGTCCGGCCATGGTAATTGTGACAGTGGGCATCTGATGCCTCAAAATTACCCAGTGCAGGGTGCTGTTTCATGTTGTTGCATGTGCCGGGTGTGGTCGTGCCTTGCTACTTGGCAGTTGGATGCGTGCAGCATGACAAGCACGCTTCGCGGAGTTTCTGTGTGCTTCAGACTTTCAGATACTAGACATGACGTAAACCAAAATTGGTGATGGACAATCATTAAACGTGAAATGCAGCATCTTGTGCCAAGACCTGCGACGAAGTCACGGCATGGTTGACCGAGCAACATCTCCTGAAGCAGCATCGGCAGTGGCAGCGTTGTCAGCATTTGTCAGCAGCGGTGTCAGCTGCAGTGACGGCAGCGGTGACATCAGAGCATGTCAGCGCCAACTACGCAGCCATTCCACGCGTGCCGAGAGTTACACGGATGGGTTTCTCACGCATCTCTGGGACAATATGAAATTTTGGCGCGAATTGTCAAAACGCGGAAGATTTGCCGGCACAGATAGTTGTGTACAACAGGAAGCAGACGGATGGAGCGAATTGGAGCAAAGCTGGTCATTGTAGCCAGTCGAAGTACGCATCCGCATCTTCCGCAAATGAGTGCTGCGCAAGTCGGACTGAGACTGAAGCCAACATTGTGCTACCACGGATGGTGTTGAAAACGCTTTCAGAATGGTGCTCCTCAGAATCGTGCAGAAGAAAACCTGCTAACAACGAACCATGCCAAAGGTGGCAGGGATGCGAACACATCTGCGATCTTTTGCGCACGTGACTGGGCCCGCAAGGCACCAGCAGCTGCAGTGGCTTCGGCCCCAGCAGTTGGGGCTGCTGCGATTAGCCTATCTGGTGCTAGCCTTATCGCTGGGTTTCGCACAGCTGCTGAGAGTACCGTATCAGCATCCGAAAGCTGAACTTGGTTTTTTGGAGTCCATATTTCTCAGGTGTTTCACCGCCGAGTGCTTGGAAGCCTCGTTGGCTTATCATGGCCGCTTCCGATGTATCTTTGCACATCTGATGTCTCTTTGTGCAATGATGTAAGGTCGAACTCCACTTCAGCACCAAAGCGGTCCCCTGAAGGCAAGAGACCGTTGCCGTAAACCGGAACTTGTCTTAAGTGTCAGATCGTCGTGGCAGCAATCTTGGTTTTGGGCAGGTGGCAGCTGCACTCGTACCATTGTGTCCAGGAGAGGGCGAATGGTGAAGCAGTGAGTTGTTGAACTCGTGTTGAACTCGTGACACAAGAGTTGTAAATAGCCTCAGCCATGTCTCTGCTGCAGGGTGAGAACTCGCTCCAGGCCGGAACACAGCAGTGTAATTACAGAGCTACCTACATGATACAGCTTTACAAAGTTAAGCTTCTGTTACCGCTTGAGCTGTTCCAGGGCACGGCCTGCAAGCCCCAAAGAGTCTGGCTGCCGTGCTTTGAATGGACATTTGGTCGTGTTACCCCTGTTGGGGGCTCCTGAGCTGTCTTGTGAAAGTGACGCGCAAGCATGCGCAAGCCACTTTGCATCTAACTCCATATTTCAGGCTGCACCTTGTACGGTAGCTCACCAGCATGATTTCAAGATATCTCTGCTTCTCGGGGGGCACTTTCGCCAGACGTGATCCGCAGCCACGCAAGCGGGCAGCTTCCAGGGAGTCGGGTCTGGAGTGGTGCCCTCATGCTTTGATGCCGCTTTGATGTTGCACTGCTACACCCTTTGTGTGTATGGTTGGCCTTGAGTATGTTGCTCGAGGCGCCTGAAGCGGCTTGGCCTGGTAGGCATCCCGCCTGGAAAGGAGGCTGCAATGCAGTTGGCAGTTGGCCCTTGGAAAGTGCCCCACGTCTTAGAGCTATGTTTTCTGTTGTCGGATGACTCGTGCCAGGCCCCGGGCCTCTCTGGCAGGCCCGGATTGATGAACTCTTTTCAAAAGTCTGCCGCTGATGTGTTTATGCGCGATGGCCCATGGCCTCGAAGTGTCAGGCGCCGCTCGCCCTGCGAGGAGGCCGGCCCTACCGGCTTTTACCATTTCCGAGAGCATGTTCTGTGTTTTGAACTTCATCTGCCATGTCTGAAAGGTTGTCGGGAGCTGCAAGCTCTCCCAGAATAGCAAACGTGCCCATCTCAATGTGGCTGTGACATGAAGGGTCGCATGGTCTCGGCAAGGCAAGCAACTTTTTCAACGAAGTTGACGAGCACAATTAGAAAGTTCGATGCTGTTCGACAATATCTCCTCAAGCTTTGCACTGGAAAGATTGAAAGAAGTTTGTCTTTCCAAATCTGCCAAGTCAATGCGCGCACTCCACCCCAAAAAAGGGGACCGAGGACGATTGCGGGTCGATCTTTCCATGTTTGTGTCCTTTCGGAACAACTGCTTCTCGGTGCTAGATGGCCTTTCGTGAAGATCGGGGTTCATGTTAGCA